AACTGTCCAGCCCTGGACCCGCCTCTCCTGGGAAGACAGGAGCATAGCTTCAGTGACCCAGTTATGAACCTCACCATGGCCCCTCTCAGACTGGGTGCATAAGGGTGCCTGAGTGTTCACCAGAAGGGGGCCCCTATGTGAGGCAGGGGTGAACCTCATCAAGGTTCCTGTAGCTCAACACCTCCACACTATCCCGACTTGGCTCCTCCAGGGTGAGGTGGGCCCCGCCCAGAAGCTCCAGGTGTAGCCCAGGCGCTGGTTGGCGCCTCAGTTGTGGGCATTCAGACTTTGTGACAGTCATTCACAGTTCTGTGTTTCATCTGCCCTTCAGTGGGGCCTGAGAAAGCACTTACATCAAGGAAAGAGACGGTCTAAGCTTCACCTGACGTACAGGGGTCATTCTGTTGTGGGAGAAGCATCCTGGCTGTAAGATGTTCATTAGCATAGTGGGCTCTGCCTAAATGCAGTCATAGCAGGCGCAGTGGTCCAGTGGTGTGATGGACCTGTGGAGAACAGGAAGAGAAGATGGTATTCCAGAGACTGGCTGGGGCTGAGGGATAACCTGGGACAGGGATGGCCTGGGACAGCTCTGTGAGCCTCTACCATTCAGGCACAGTAAAGTGCCCGTCTCGGATGTGTTGCCCTGCCCGAGACAACAACGAAACCTTGGTGGTGGCAGGAGAGAGTTAGAAGTTTGGGCCTATGGCGGCTTTCAGCCACTCCTCAGTTCCTGTCTCTGATAAGCACGGAGCTGAGTCAGCCACCTTGTGACTGAACTTGTAGCCTTGGGGTCCCTTCACTCTTTTACAGCAGGGAATGATCCTCCAAGGTCTTCCCTCCTTGGCTGGGGAGGCCCTTCACTGTGCCTTCTCCTCTGCCAGGGCCTTTGGGTTGCCTGCTGTCCCTCTGCTGAATCCGGTGTCCTGCACGACTCCTGGCATCCTGCCTGTTGCTGGGGGCTCTGCTGGCACCAGCTGCAGCCAGCTGCTAAGCCTCGGCCCGTCGGAGTCAACAGAACCACCCGCTTAAGCAATATCAAAATAGCCTTTTCCCTTCCCAGAACTGGAGGGCTTTTCCTCCTTCTAGAAGGGAAATAAACTAAATCAGAAAACAGAAATGAGAATCCCAAAGAGGTCAGAACCTGGAATGTGTCTGAGGTCTTCACTAGGATGGCCTGTGACCATGACCCTGTGTGGTGGGTCTGCGTTTGTGTGCGCCTGTGTGATATGTGTCCTTATATGTTATCTGTGTGGCTAATGGTGTGTGTCTGTCTGTCTGTCTGTCTGTCTGTCTGAAGTGTGTAGCAGGTTTGGCCCATTTTCTGCTGAGCTGTTTTTTGGGATCTCAAGTGTATTGAGGTATGGTTTTGGGACCGCCTGTGGGATGCTGAGGTGTGTAGGAGTGGTGGGCTGTTTTGAGGAGTGTAGAAGGGTTTTGGAGTATCTGAGATTTAAGAGTGTTGACCCCCACACGGCCATGTTGGGGTGTAAAGGATCTACAAACCTTCAGCTGTTGTTCTGGAGCACGTCAGAGGGTTGGAAAGTTGATGTAAAGAAGGACACTGGGGTATAGGACAGTTATTTTGGGGTGTTGGACTATTACTTTAGGGTGTTTAGGAAGTTTCCGGCGTTAGCATATGAGAGTGTTGACATAGGAACCTGGCTGTTTGGCGGATGAAGAAGTGTTGAATGCTGAAATATTGGGCTGTTTTGGGGGTGTGTAGGAGGGTTGGTGGGGAGCTGGACTGTGTAGGAGTATTGGGATATTCTTTGGGGGATATACAGCCAGGCTGGGATGTTGGTGGTGGGGAGGATTGGGTATAGCTGTTGTTGGGGGGTGGTTATAGCTGGTGTGGGGGGGTTGGGTATAGCTGGTGTAGGGGAGGGTTGGGTATGGGTGGTGTGTGGGGTTGGCTGGTGTGGAGAGGGTTGGGTATGGCTGGTGTGGGGGGGGATAGCTGGTGTGGGAGGGTTGGGTATGGCTGGTGTGGGGGGTATAGCTGGTGTGGGGGGGTTGGGTATAGCTGGTGTGGGAGGGTTGGGTATGGCTGGTGTGTGGGGTTGGCTGGTGTGGGGAGGGTTGGGTATGGCTGGTGTGGGGGGTATAGCTGGTGTGGGGAGGGTTGGGGTGTGTAAGAGCACTGGGCTGTTGTTTTGAGGGTGGGAAGGTTGAAGCATTGCTTGCTGGGATGTGTGAGTGTTGGGGTACTGGGGAGCCCCGCGCTGGGCTGGTCTTACGTACAGATGCCCGTGTGTCACCTCTGCATCTGTCCGCATCCTGCTCTAGCCCACATGAGCCCCTCTTCTTCCCACTGTCCCTCTCCAGGCGCCATAAGTGAAAGGACCCTGGACAGGGTCTCTGAGCTGTGTTCTCCCCTGTGCCCAAGTCCTCAGCCTTACGTAGACGAGCGCCTCCAGAGCCTCACAGAAAGTCTCACACGCCCCTCTGCCCTGCCCACAGCGGAGCTGGAGTTCGTGCAGATCGTGGTCATCGTGGTGGTGATGATGGTGATGGTGGTGATGATCACGTGCCTGCTGAGTCACTACAAGCTGTCAGCGCGTTCCTTCATCAGCCGACACAGCCAGGCCAGGAGGAGAGAGGAGGGACTGTCCTCGGTGAGTGGGGCCATGGCCTAGGTTTCCTGCTGTGTGGAATACTCTGACAGAACCCCATCGGGGTGCTCACGGGAGCAGGAATGTGGATCGCTGCTTCCTCTGGTCAGTGGAGTAGGACCTGGGGGTGGATAAGGAGACCTGGGAGTGCGGGAAGGTTCAGGCTGGAGGGAAGCTGTGAGTTTGCACCAGGATGTGTCTGAGCCTGAGAGCCCAGTGCTGCCCCCAGAAATGGCTCCTGTTACCATCCCAGAGGGAACAGGACGTGTCAGGTATGATTCTGTGGGCTCCCCAGAGGAACCCCACTGTGGGGAGGTGAGGCTGGGAGCTGGCTTAACCTCCATAGCTACGAGCTGAGTGGATACAGGTTTGGGGGAGCAGGGAGGTGGGACACAGTTTAGAGGAGACAGCTACGACACATGGCGGCAGGTCAGGCCTCCCAAGGCCAGTGAGAGGCCTGATGAGACAGAACGAGGAGACAGCAGCAGCTGCTTGACTGGGTGCCCACCAGGACAGAGGTGTGGGAAAGGTGCCCCCGGTCTTGGGGCTGTGACCTAGATGGAAGGAGATGACAGTCCTGCCCTCTCGCCAACACGCCACTAGCACTTGGGCAGCTTTGTCCAAGTGTCCTGGGAGGCCATGGAAGCAACCGGACACCGAGAGGTCTCTCCCAGGGCCCGAGCGTCATCTGGCTCCTCAGGTGTGATGAGCCAGCACAGGGCGCCTCTGGGCAACCCAGGCTTGACATAGTAAGCTAGCCATCTCGGGCTGGAAGGGAACCTTATCCACGTGACCCCTCGCCCGCCAGCTCTCTGCTGAGTGCTGTCTGTGCCCAAGCTCCCCTGATACAGGAGACTATGGGCAGGACCATTCTAGGATTGTGGGTAGCCGAAAGTCATACGCAGGCAGGGGCTCCACGTAAGGGACTTCTAGCTTTGGGGTGCAGCTGAGCCTCTTTGAGCCTTAGAGCTAGAGACCTGACACTCACCAGAGGGAGGGAGGACCAAACATAGCCAGCCTTGGGATCAGAGTTCAGTGTCCTGGGGCTCAGCCATGCTCAGAGCCCAAGAGGTGAGCATTCTCATGTGTGCTGGGCTCCTTGTTAGCCTAAGTGAGACTGTGTAACTAGTCTCAGCTCATTTACATCCTACCAAGGGCAGTCAGTCACCTAGAGTCACTTAATGTACCCAGAGGACTGCTTGGTCTCTATGCAGGCAAGCAAGCGTTTTACATGCACACGTGCATGCGCGCGCGCGCACACACACACTCACAGACACACATGCTGAGCAAAGTTGGGGATCCTAAAACTGCCCTCTGTTACCAAGGGACAGTCACTGCACCAGAGGGCCTCATCCTGGCTGATATTATAAGCGTGTGTTTTGGTGCTTTAGCGTTGTGAGCGTCAAGGGGCTACCTGGGACCCAACAGTGTCCTTTCTGGACTCCAGAGTCAGTGCCTGGGTTGTCTCCTGCAGGTGGGACTTGCCTCTCCTGCCTGTAACATCAGCCCCCCTTTGGGAAGCTCTGTCCTGGCCTCAGGTGTCCACAGTCAGCAACAGTGAAGAGAGGCATAGTCTATGTGGCTCGAAGCGCAGGATAGGAAGCCTAAGACCGGAAGAAGCTAGCACATAATCACACCCCAGTCTCCAGGATGGCTCAGCAGGGGCAGGGAGGATGGAATGATCTGAGCCATGCTGGGCACAGTGCCCCAGTTTTGGGGGGGTGTCCCAGGCTGGCAGAGGCACCTAGAGTCTAAGGGCTAAGCCAAGACAGAACTGGCCGCCGCCTGAGAAGCAGGGCTGTTCCTGGCAGGTTTGGACATCTCTGCTTGCGTCAGGACCGGTTTCAGTGCGTCACCAGTTCACCGGGGCAAGATCTGTGACAGACATGGGGACTCCTGACTGAGGCCCAGGACACAGCCTGAGGGAAGAGCCAGCACCTGCTGTATAGGAATCCTGCCTGCCGTGCCCCGGCTCACCTGGCTCTTTTGTTATCTCTGTTACCTAGCAATAGGCACTGCCAGCTGCCTGGCAAGTGTTCTTCACACAGCGCATAAGCCAGAGTGACGTCCGAGGCTCACTCCCTCACAGAGAAGTAACTAGGGCTCAGAGAGGTGGGTGGGGCACTTGTCTAAGGCCAAACAGCGAAGTTCCCCTAGCCCATTGTGGGGTGTGGTTAGCCAAGAGCGTGGGATGTGACAAGGAAGGTTCTGGGTACAGATGGCAGAGAGAGAGAGAGAGAGAGAGAGAGAGAGAGGGGGAGAGAGAGAGGGAGAGGGAGAGGTGGGGGGGGAGCAGGCAACTCATTCTGCATGGACACCTGAGCTCAGCTGCTGCTTCGACAGACAAGAACCCGGCCCTCCTCCCCAGACACGGGGCCTCAAAGAGACCGTCTCCTTCACTGTCTCCCCAGTGCCACCTGGCTGTATAAACAGGGAACCCAGGGGAGGCCTGGAACAGAAGGTGGCAGATCCCCTAGGACTCCTTGTCTTTCCGACATAGTGCATCTGAAGTGTCTCCAGGCCTTGTGACCTCCCAGAGAGACCTAGATACAGCTGTTGTCTGCCTGGGCTCAGTGTGCCACACTACACTCGCCTGCCTACCCAGAGCCTTGCCCTTTGGATGTCTCTGACAACTGGGGTGGGGGCTCCCCTCCTACTTACGAGAGTAGGACACAGATCCACCTACTCACCACCTCTCTTACGGGAAGATCACCTCTCCTCAGAGGTACAGGAAGAGCAGGTGAGCCTGTCTAGTTTCCTGAAGCCAGGTCTCTGCTTCATTGTCCCCTACTATGTCCCACCGGCCAAGTCCTCCCACCCCCATCTCTCCGTTTCTCTCTCTGAGATGCTTTTTCCATGTGATAAACAGTGTGATGGGTGGTTGGCATGAGGGTCAGGTGCAGGGAAGGACCCACAAGCCTGCTTCTTAGCATCCACCAACTTCAAGTGTTCACTGACACAGTTGGCTTTCCTACCTCCACACAGCCCATATCTCCCCCGAGGCGTGTGGTTTGTCAACGAGGTCACCTCAGACCAGAAGCTCAGCTAGGGTCTGAGATGCATCCATGCTTTATATTCTGATAACCCTTGGCCTAGATCTCCTGCTTCCCATGGAAGCACTGCCTGCCATGTCCTTGTTCTGGAGCCAAAGGCAAACAAACAAACAACAACAACAAAACTTATAGTAAAGCCAGACACAGAGGTGAGCTCGAACAGAAGCTCAGGCATGGATCCATCCAAAGCTTCAGAGAGATCCAGACCGTTCTCAGCCTGGGGCAGGGTGGGTCCCAGCTCTCCACTCGCCAGAGGTTTGCTTTGCAGAATTTGATGGTTGACCACTTGTCCACAGGAAGGGAACGATTGTCACTATGAAGGTGAGGGGACAGTCTGAGCCATGTCTGGAAGCTGACCAAAAGGAGTTTCCCAGCAGGTTGTAGCTCTCAGTCTGGAGTTGCAGCCAGGAGGGCACCCTCAGGCCTCAGCAAATTGGCCCAGCCCAAGGGCTATATGCCTAGGTTTGTAAATAAAGTTTTATTGGCACACAGTCGTGCCTGTTAGTGTTTTTATGAACTATTAAGATTTAACAAAACAGAGACAGTTTGGAGGTTTTTTGTTTGTTTGTTTTGCTTCTAGTACAATGTTTTTAGTTATTCCTTGAGAGTTCGTGCATACTGAAACTTATTCTGACCCTTTGCGGAAATGGCCAGCAGACTGCTTTGGGGGAGGTCCAGAGGGAGAGGCTGTGGAGAAGTCGTGGTGAACTCAGGTAGCCTAATTGAGAAGTGATCATATAATAGGAGCCTGTACCCCAGGCAGTGTGGGAGGAGCAAGAAGGAACCCCAAAGCCAGTTCTAGAACAAGTTCTAGAAGAAGGAAGGGAGGGGCTGTCCTCACAGCTGAATAGGGCTGGCAACATTGGCTACAGGATTGAACCCTCCCTGCCTTTCACCTCCCCCTCAGCGGCTGCCTGAAGCCCCAGGGTTAGGGAACACTAAAAGATGGTTAAGTGGTGATTGCTTGCTGTGGCTTAAGCATGTGCTGTGAACCACACTAGACTGTAGGCACAGGGGACACGGTAGTCCCTCCGGACCCAACCGCAGCTTTGCAGGGAGAGTGACCCATGTAGACAGGGTATCCTGAGCAGAGATGAGTAGGAAGGAAAAGGGCTAGTGTTCTAGGTCGCTTGTCTGTGGTTGAGATAAAACCTCGTGACCAAAGGCAGCCTGCGTGAGGAAGGAGTTGTTCCAGCTTACACTTCCAGGTCACAGTTCATCATTGAGAGAAGGATAGGAGCTATGAGGTTTGCTGGGTTGGCAGTGAGTGGGTGGGACTGGTATCAAAAGAATCTAAGCAGATTTGGGAGAGGATTTGGGTTGGAAGGCTGTGGGAGGGGGCAGAACCCTGGGGTGCAGCCCTAAGCCCTGTTGGAGCCTCCTTTCCGGGGGGGGGGGGCCCTGCTGGCTCCTCCTGCAGAAGCCACATCTTCATAAGTGTATACCTGACTGACTGACCGTCTGCAAGGCAGGGCTGGAGGGCCGCTCAGGTCTTTACCGTCCAGCAGGCAGGTGTCCAAGCAAGGTAGGCTGAATGGCTGTGTATGGGGTGAGATCCGAGAGAGGGAGGCTGCAGTCGGTGGGGTGAGGACACCAAGAGACACCTGTGTGCCTGGCTTGTATGTTTTTAGGGCAGCCAGGGCCATTCACTGTATCAGAGACACTTTCACCTGCAGGTGCAAGCCCCAGAACCACCTAGTGGCCACTAGATGAACTGCAGTCCTCTGCGGCTCTGGGAGGAATATGTTTTCGCCTGGATTGTGGTGATGAGATGTTGGTACTTGACCACATTGTAGGCTCTGAGTGTTTGAGAGTATTATTTCTGTAGGTACATCTCAATAAAGCCAAAATTAAGGTGCCTTTACCGCAGGCTGGTGGTTACAGACAGCTCAGAACTACTGGCACTAGCAAGGACAACCTCTCTCTTAAGAGAGTTTACTCCCTTCCTGGGATCCCCCCACTGCTGAGGACAGGAGCCTCATGAGTGACAGCCATCACAGAAAATGATTCCGTATCTGTTTATTAACAATAAAGATGTGAGAGGCTCTAAATTATAGAGTCTGCAGGGACCCGTGCACTGACTGTCAACAGAGAAGTGGTACCATGGTGGCGTGGCCAGTTCAAAGGCCTGAGAGGCACAGGCTTTGCATGCTGAGCCTGTCAGACCTGGTTTCAGTGTGGGGAGGGGTGTGACACCTGTTACTTTCTGATGTCCTCTGAAGGTCAGCTGGATTGTGACATTCAACATTAAGTTCGCTAATTTCTCTTGCTAAGTGTATGTGTCTACACATTCAGATGCAGAGGTCAAAGTTAAGCACTTGGGGCACCATCATGCAGGGAGCCCAGGCCTGGTAGAGACAGGAGGCAGGCAGGCAGACTGGCCATGCTGGGTTTCCTAAAGGCCAAGTTGAGATCGGCTATAATGCCCAGGTAAGCTGTCTGCAGCTTTGAGAGAGGGTGCCCCACAGATCGGACAGAAACCACAGCTGAGGGAGGAGCCAACAGGGCCAGTATGGCCTTGCCTTTGACCACGCAGATGCGGTAAGGTTGAAAAATGAGAAGTCTATATGCCCAAGTCTTCGCTCCAGGGTGACGAGTTCAAATCTAGGCAGGACTTCACTCCAGGATGACAAGTTCAAATCTAGGATAGATGGCATCTTGTGTCACCAGCTCTGTCCACTGCTGACCCTGTGTCCCTTTCTATCCTACAGGAAGGATGCCTCTGGCCCTCAGAGAGTACGGTGTCAGGTGGAATGCCGGAGGTAAGACAGAGTCTCGCCCCCCCCCCTTTGCTTTCAATGGACGGGCCTCCTCCAGACACTCCCTGACTCCAGGAGGCCCCCTGCAGCGGCATCTGCAGCCAGTCCTGCAGTCTAGGGACTTCCAGGGATTCACCTGGGGCGACCCCTCCTGAGCTCACACAACTCAGTCTCTGAATCTGGGGGGGGGGGGGAATCAATCTCAGTCTGCCTCCCTCCCTAACTCTTCTCTGCCCTCTCCAGCCACAGGTCTATGCCCCACCTCGGCCCACTGATCGACTCGCTGTGCCCCCCTTCGTCCAGCGGAGCCGTTTCCAGCCCACCTACCCCTACCTGCAGCATGAAATTGCCCTGCCACCCACTATCTCGTTGTCTGATGGGGAGGAGCCCCCACCCTACCAGGGCCCCTGCACCCTCCAACTACGGGACCCCGAGCAACAGCTGGAGCTGAACCGAGAGTCTGTGCGTGCACCCCCCAACCGGACCATCTTCGACAGTGACCTTATAGACAGTACCATGCTGGGAGGCCCCTGTCCCCCCAGCAGTAACTCGGGCATCAGCGCCACCTGCTATAGCAGCGGTGGGCGCATGGAGGGGCCGCCTCCCACCTACAGTGAGGTCATCGGTCATTACCCGGGCTCCTCCTTCCAGCACCAGCAAAGTACCGGGCAGTCCTCCCTGTTAGAGGGAACTCGGCTCCATCACCCTCACATTGCCCCACTGGAGAACAAGGAGAAGGAGAAACAAAAAGGTCACCCCCTCTAGGAGTGGGGGCCGGGGCACCTGTAGGCAAAACCGCAAAAAATAAAAACACTCCGCACTTCTTAAGAGAGAAGAGAGAGGAAGGCAGGAGACACACAGGCCATGTGGTGTGTGCTAGTTCTCCTGTCTGTGTATAAATATTTACATGTTCCGTGTGGTCTGAATGCAGAAGCTCAGAAAGCTTGCAAAAAAAAAAAAAAAGAAAGAAAAAGATGCCATGTTTCTTTGTTGAGCCGTGTCTTGAAGGCAAAAGAGAAACCGCTCCACTAGTCTTGTTCTTAGTTGAGCTCTGTGTGTGAATGCTTAATTTCTTTTGTTTATGATGGTTTTACTTAACTTTAAAGACATATTTGCACAAAACCTTTGTTTAAGATCTGCAATATTATATATATATAAATATATATAAAAGAAGAGACTCTGTATGTGGGAGAGCCAGGAGTATTTTTGTATTAGAAGAGGCCTATTCAAAAAAAAAAAGTTGTTTTCTGAACTAGAAGAGAAAAAAAATGGCAATTTTTTGAGTGCCAACTCCGAAAGTGTGTATTACCTTGTAAAAAAGAAAAAAAAATCCTACAAAGCAGGGGTTTAGAGCTATTTATATAAATGTTGAGATTTTGCACTATTTTTTAATATAATATATCAGTGCTTGTTTGATGGAAACTTCTAGAGAGTGTGTTGAGACTTGGAGAAATGTTGAGTTTCAGTCTGAACAGAGCATCGGGGTGTGTCCCCTCCCCCCGGGTCTCAGAGGGCCCCCACTGCACAGGAAAGCCAGGCTCCCCAGGGCCACGCACCTGCAAGCCGACGGATGCTTCTGTCCAGACAGGCTGTGAACAGTTACATTCCCTGCCGAAGGGGACCCGTGTTGTCCTCTGGGTTACAGCTGAGTCAGGACCGCCCCCCACAAAGGCGCTGGGTCCCAGATGCCTTTCCCAATATGAAAAATAAACTGTTACCGAAGGAATCATAGTTTTTTTTTCTTCCTCTTTAAAACACAAAAACTATGAAGGTTCAGTGTTTGGGGGCAAGGTGTATCCTCAGATCCAAAGCAACTCCCCGAATTTGGTGCGGGGGAGGGGGGATGCAGCGGCTTGCTAAGTGGGTGGGACTCGAGCGTGCTCAGTAAGCGGTTCCACGTTGTCATGTAGGGAAGGCCCACGGTGGCGGCTGCTTGACCTCAGACCATGTGTTTCCCTCAATATTGATTTTCATTTCAAGAAACCAATTAACAGTCCACTCAACATTGAAAGGGACAAACCCGAGCATTCCCCCAGGAAGCCCAGAAGGGTTAGGACAGACTGCCACCAATGCCAGCCTCCAGCATAACTTTACTTCTCTCCCTGGAATCATCCCCTCAACCCGGAAAGAGTTGTATTTGATTTGGTCATTTGACTGCCTTATCACATGTTTGCAGGGTTGGGGTCTCATTTCCCAGGATGTAATTAGCATGTGGGATATGCTGGGACCCCAAGGGGGCTTACTGTTGTGTCAGGGGTGCGGTGTAGTGAGGTTTCTTAAGGTTCAGCAGGAGCAGAGGCACCACCCCTCAGGTGAATCTGCTGGAATTCGTGGAGTGACCCCACCCACCACTCCCCTTCCACAGGGCGTTCCCGTTTTCTGCAGAAAGCCAACATAAAAATGAGAGTGACTCGATAACCTATATACAGCACTTTTTGTTTTTAATTACTTGAAAATCTTTTGGAGTTCAGGCCAGCGTGCCTGTTTATACACATACGGTTTTTAAAGTATAGGTTACCCTGGAGCCCCGCTGGACCCCGTGCCTGGAGCCCTGCAGATCCATCATTACAGAACATTCCCAGGAGACCCCACTCCCCCAGGAGTGGTTGACCTAACACTGGATCCTCTCTCAAAGAAAGAGGATTCTTGGAGATATCAGTTTGTTGTCACCGAGATGTCCCATGTTTCCCTGTGTGCATATCTGATGCCTTCCTGAAGAAGAGATCTCTCTCTGGGCTCAGGATGGGGGTATGCCCATACAGTGTCTCACTCATGGAGCCGGTCCATCAACTGCTGGAGTTCAACTGTGCTTGTCATTTCCCTTCCCGACGGTGCATGTGTCTGACTTGCAGAGACCCCCAGATGTCCCTGCAGGCTTCTTATGGAATACTGCATGTGGCTTCCGTCCGGTTGGGGAATCTAGACAAGTAAACCTCATTCCTGTGTACGGCTACAGCTGAAAGCTGGGCTCTGTGTGCCCACTGTCCTCTGGGGCCAGGCTGGCTGTCCTTGCTTCTTTGAATGGGTTGTTGAAGGTGCTTGCTGGGCTCATTTGGCTTAGGGGAGCACTTACCCCCTTGGGTAACAACCTTGGACTGAAAAGTGGGGTCCCTTGGATGTGGGTTGTAGGACTTCGGAGGGAGGGGCTTGTCAAAGGCAGGGTATCTGGAGTCCTAAGCAAACCAGCCGTGTCAGGCTGCCAGCTCCTGCAGGCTGCAGGCTGTGGGACCCTGAACTCTGGCCAAATTCTCGAGATGCTGGTCCACACTTCACCTCTTCCCACAACAAGTTAGGCCAGTCCTGTTAAGTGGCTGGTTGGAGAGGAACAGACCTGGTAGGCTTGGGGAGAAGGAGGGTCTTGCTGCTTCATGAGGTTCTGAGAAAGTGACAGTTCTTGGCTCCCTCTGTCCAATCATCCCCCCAACTCCAGTGCTTGCTCCAGAGAGGTCATGACCCCTGCAGAGCTCCAGGCTATGTAAAGGCAGAAAGGCTTTGCAGAGCTTGGGGCTGTGAGTCAGCTTTGTAGAGCTGGGGTCTGCATGGCTTGGCCTGCTGCACAAGAACTGTCTTTGTAGAAGTCTGTTGTTTTAGCGAAAAGTTAAGACGTGACCCCCATACTCCACATGTGACAGGAATCGAGGCCCAGGCAGAATCCAGACCTTCTCTCTTCAAACTCTGTTCTGAGTCGCTGTTGTGTCCTAAGTGACTGACTTCCATGTCCCTCAGTTTCCAGAACCACAGAATCTTGTAATGATGAGAGAAATGGTCTCATTTGTGCTCTGGACTTGAGAGCCACAAATGCTTTCACAGTCTAATGGGCCACACCTCCTGTGTCACCTGTCACCCTTTCCCTGGCACACTGTCTGGCTGCACTACTGCTTGGCTCTGAGATGCCCTTCTTTGCAGCTGTCCCCACTTCCCGCCCCCACCTTCTGTTTCCAGTCAACACTTGGGATTTCTCCATGCCTGGAGCACTATGGGACACTGTACCCAGGCCGTTCTCTGTGTATCTATAATCTTGGGTGCCGATGTTGGCATTCCAAAAAGTCGCAATACACAATAAATTTTACAGTTCTTTGGAGAGTGAATTTTCTCCCATTTTTTTTGGCTGTGTAGCTCTCCTTTCCTGCCCACCCCCATCCTCCGTGACAGCACAGGACATATGGAGTAAAGACAGGCTTCCATAGCTGCTGGGGACCCTTAGATAGTTTGCTCAACCTCTATTTGAGGTCACTTGGTACTGGGGGGTGTCAGAAGAAATCCTCGTTCCCACAAGTGGCTCTCCTAAAGGAAGGGTGGGGTTGAAGGACTTCCCTCATTTCCTGAGGAAAGCTCAGGTAAGGTCTTTAGAAAGACACTCTTAGATGGCCTTCAGAAGTCAGCCCTGAGACTCAGGCTGTGTGAAGGAGGTTTGATGTTCTCCTGACCCCAGAGGAGAGGAAACGAAGCTGTTTGCAGATGAAAACCAACCTCAGATCGACACCAGTGAGGCCTGCAGGGTAAGTTACACCCAGGAGTGCTGTGTATCAAGCCCTCCCGGTCCTCAGTGCCCAGAAGTGGAGCAGAGGGGAGTCTTAGCAGTACACAGGTGCCCTACTTCTGGGTGCTAGGCTTTAACATAAGGCTCTTGGAAGCTGGGGTTGGGGCACACAGGTCCCCACCAAAGAGCTCCCCAGTGGTTTTAATCTCCCAACACCTACACACAGAGTGCCCAGTAAGACACTTTACTTCATACAGAGCCATCTTTAAGATACAGGGCTTTTAAAACCTTCAGTCAATACGGAGGTGGATGCCCGGGGGTGGCTGCCATTTGGCCTCAAGTAGGGGATACCTAAGGTTGTGGGATGTCAACATTCTTTGGGGACTGCTGCAGCTGCCAGCTGGACCGGGGGCCCTTGGCTGCCAACCTCCAATGCACGTTTCCTGTTGGCAGACCCCAGAGCACTTCAGGGAACTCAGGAGGAGCCTAGAGAGCATGCTCCCCCGCCACTTGTGAGGAGCACCAGGGACCACCTGTACCCCTCAGCTGGCTCCTGGGCCATATCTTCTCCATAGTCACTCCCACAATTCATCTGTGTCCCCACACACATCAGCCACTCCTATTAGCACCCTAGCTTTGAGGTTATCACCAGGTGCCCCTCGAGCCTCTGGATCATTCACACAGAGAGCCACAGGCACTATGGCAGAAGCCAGCCCAGCCGAGGGCTGTGTGCCTCCTGGGTGCCCAACTTCAGATTGAAAGCCCACATCACAAGCAGGTGAGAGTCTGATAGCGTGAAAGGAATACAAGAGTGTGAGCCTCAAACGATGGAGAAGGAGAAACAAAACAAAACACCATGGTAGATGTTTAATTAACCATCTGGAAACCCAAGCATCATGTCAAATTCTTTAATCACTTCATTTAGCCGTCATGAAATGTTCACGATCCTTTGCTATGGCTGGAGAGAGTTTATGGTGAAGGACTCTCTCGCCCAGTAAAGTGTCCCCGAGTGTGACCAGCTTTGACTAAGAGTATGTCTTGTCTTTATTTAAAGTCTATCTGGGCCTAGGGAGATGGTTCAGTGGTAAAGTGTCTGTCACTTTACCTTAGGACCCATGTTCATATTCCTAACACCCACAGAAAAGCCAGGTACGGCTCCTGTCTGCTGTTCCAGCACTCTTGAGCTGAGGTTGTCAGAACCTGGAAACCCTGAGTCTTGTTGGCCATCCAGGCTGGCCAAATCTATGAGCTCCATAGCCCATGACTTAAAAATAAGGTACAGAATTATAGAGAAAGAATCTCACATTCTATGCACATATACACACGCATGTACGCACATGTACACACACACCACAGACAGTGAAGTCCAGCTGTGCATGCCTGTAATCCCAGCACGCTGGAGGCTGGGGCAAGAGATGTGCTGCAAATTCGAGACCAGCCTGGAAAAGAGTGAGACCTGGCCTCAAAGCAAAACAAAAAACATAAATTAAGAAAACTCGAAAGTTGCAATTATAAAATTCACGTAAGGTATACACTGAGTCCAGGGCAGTTGTCTAGATGTGGGAGAGGCAGAAAAGTAATTCTGAAACAGGTTGATTGGGTGGGGGGAGGGGAAAACCTCTCCTAGCCATTGGCTGACCAATGGCAGCCTTCCCTGCTCCCTGGCCCACCCCAAGCTGATAGCTATCCCTACAGTCAAGACCTTTCCCAACTGAAAACGAAGATGCCTTCTCTAGCCCTTGCATGACTTTCTGGGAAATTGTTTCTCTGAGGGCCTGGGTGGGTGCCTAGACTTCCTGCCCTGGACTGGTCTCACAGACGGCTGACAAACCAGGTTGATAAGTAAGATGGTTTTGTTCCAAAGAAGGACAGCTAAGGGCAGAGACAAAGAGACAAGTGACCTGTACTTCACGCTCAGCTCTCTGAAGGAACCTCGGATGTAGCCAGTTCCTGGTTATGAACTATGGGAGTGCAGTCAACAGGAAGCTGAGACTCATGAAGAGGAGGGCCTTGTTCAAGGCCCAGGGCTAACAAGGGGAGATGCCCCGATGTGCCCAGTGGACAAAGGGGAACATTGAGGCCCACTGATTATTTGCCTTACAGGACCAACACCTCCATAGGACTTCAGAAAAGCTTGTCACCCCAACACACCTGCCATAAATGATCTTCCCTCTTTGCTCGAGGTGGGGACCACAGACGCCCTTACTGTCACCAGCCACCTCTGACCAAAGCAGCCTCTCTCGTCTCCCCGACTGTTATATCACAATCCTGGCTATGGGGAGGGAAGGAGATGGGTTTTGCTAACACAATATGTGGTAAAAATATATCTCTTTTAAAAGAGAGATCACAAAACCTGAAGCCTAGGGATCGGTAACATGTAATTATCCCCTGCTTTGGGCGGAGAACTCTAATAGTTTCCAGAAAAACATGGAGTGTGTTCTCCAGGATAAAAAGAGACCAGCTTAGCATGCCTTCATACATCTCTAAGCCCTTCCTACCTAGTGAAGGAAGCACCCTCCTCCCCTCCCCCACTCCCCACCCCCAAAAGCCCTGAACACTGTCAGAGGCTCTCAGGATGCACAGTGGTGGAAGACGCTTCATCAGACCCCACCCAGGATCTGTGAGAGAAAGAGGCTGGGAGGTGCTGGGTGGAGCAGGGGAAGGTCTCGACACCAGACACAAAGAGATATGTCCTTGCTCTCTCTTTGAGGAAGAGCCTTGAGTTGGCAAGAACACCTAGGTCTCTGCCTGTCTCTGTTGTGGTCAATATTACTGTGATCTGAAGAAATGCGACCCCAATCTTATCTGGGTACACAGTGATTGGGGATACAAACCTCAGCATTCCATGGGGGACAGAGTGGTAAGACTAAGTTCTGTCTGATAGGACACTAGTGGAAAGTATGTGCAGCCCGCAGATGTGTTCTTCAAAGGGGGGCATCTACTGTGTTCATTTCGTTCTGCTGCTGTAATACGGGGAACACACAGATACACACACAAACACAGTTACTCAGCTTACAACTTCACAGTCCCATCACGGAGAGAACCAGCTTTCTGATATACAGCCCAGGAAACGGAGCCTAGGAATGGTGCTGCCCACAGTGGTCTGTGTCCTCTCAAGTCAGTCATCAATCATGATATTCTCTCATAGTGTGTCCACAGCCAATCAGCTCTGGGCAATCCTTCAGTGGAAACTCCCTCAGGTAGCTCTGTATTCAGTCAACAGCTGAAGCTACCCTCCCCATTCCCCATCCCGGTCCCTTATTCCTTCCTCTGAGAAGGAGTGTAGGCATGCTAGGTAGAATTCCAGCCACCATTCTAAAACTTAAGGCAAACCCCCACGCAGGCTACAGATGGCAGAGCAGCCAGATAAAAAGAACCTGGGTGACTGACAGCACCAAGTTCGGGGTGCCTGCCAACTGTTGCAAGCAAGAACAACAATAACAAGAATAAAAATGCACATCTGAACCAGCTAATCTACGGCACGGAGGCTGAAGGTAGGCCCAATGTTGAAAATTAGCTTGTAAGTTTTTTCTTTTCTTTCTTTTTTTCTCTTCTTTCTTTCTTTTTTTTAAATAAAGCTTTCCTTTTGAAAAAAATTATGATTTATTTATTGGGGCTGGAGAGAGAGCTCAGTGGTTAAAAGCACTGGCTGTTCTTCCAGAGGTCCTGAGTTCAATTCCCAGCAACCACATGATAGCTCACAACCATCTGTAATGGAATCTGATGCCCTCTTCTGGCATGCAGGGTACATACAGACAGAGCACTCATACACATAAAATAAATGAATAAACCTTTTATATTTTTTAAGATTTATTTGTTTATTATGTATAGAGTACTCTGGGGGTCAAATGACATTTTCACAGGGGTCACCTAAGACCATTGGAAAGCACAGGCCTTTTACATTATGTTTCATAACAGAAGTAAAATTACAGTTACGAAAGTGTCGATGAAAATAATTTCTGTGGTTGGAGATCACCACAACATTGTATTTAAGGGTTGCAGAGTTAGGACAGTTGAGAACCACCAACCTAGAAGGCTCTGACTCCTTCCAGGTCGGCTAATGTAAGGAAGAGAAGGGAAGGGAAGAGAAGAGAAGGAAAGGGACGGATGCTGAAGAAAGAAGTGAGGAGGGCAGGCATGTCTTGAAGCCCAGCAAGTCTGGAGCCATCTTAGCCAGGGACCAAGCAAGACCCCCTGGGCAAGAGGCGGTTGGTTAGCAGGCGCCACCTAGTGGTCGGTCTCCAAATAGCGCCTCTAGGGAACCTGAGCAGTGTCCCTCAACAGGCCCAACTGAGGATGCATTTAAAAGGGACCTTATTTATTTTGGGTGGCAACAGGCAGCACAGTTTCTGTTTTCCTTGGCTGGTTCTGCAGGCACTGTTTTTCCTCCCTGGAAGTCATAAAAATCACTTGGAAATGTTGAAGCTTTCCTAGGCACAGGCCCATCCCAAGCTGTGGTGGACCTGGCCTAGTCATGGCCTGTCCAGTGACCTTGTCAGAGTCCATAGGGGAAGCTGACTGGGGACCTGCCACCTCCTGCTTGCTTTACAGACATCTTGCAGGCACATCACTTCCTTCTGGTTTCCACTGACTGCTTCTGTCCCACCCTGTGCACCAATGACCTGCACACCAGACAGGTACAGAGGTCCCAAGATCATGCCCTGTCTACTCACCCCACCCCCACCACCCTATAGCTGGGACCCAGATTCAGGGATTATGGTGGGCTGAGCAGTGGGCACAAGGTCGTCTCTGTGAGCCCCGATCCCCTCTTCCTTAATATGGAACAGAGAGATGTCTGAATTGTTCTTGGATCACTGAGAATTTATGAAGGTGGGGAGGGGGCTCTTTTTCTAGAAGGTATGTGGGTAGACCATACTATACCTCCCCTGTGGGCACGTAGGGGAGGCGCACTGGGTACCTTTTCCTAGATCACCTAGTCACTCTCACAGGGGCTTTCACAGAGTCCTCTTCAGTCTTGTTCTCCCAGTGGGGACCCAAGTGGGCAGTCCCACCCCAGAGGCCAAGACTCCTCTCTTCTCTGTCACACAATCGTCCACCTCCAGCTTGCTCACCCACTCCAATTTCGATTTCGACATTCTTCCTTTCGAGAACCACACCAAAGTTTCATTTTCTCTTTCTTCAGAAAGCTAGAGGGCGGGGAAGGGGATGGAGCCAGATGGGTATTTGTTTCCGGGATGGTAACAGCTGGTGTCTGCAGGTCCAAGCAACCCTTCTTTCCTGTAGACTTAGAGCCTCAGGCCTAGCCACAGTGTCAGAATCTGCCACCCCCTGCGCTAAGGGTGCCCCAAGGCTACTGTGAGCATGGCAGAAGCTCCTGCTGACCCGAGCACAGGAGGTAAGCTAAACCTCTTCCTTCACCACCCTTGGATCCCCTGTGAGGTTTCTATGGCTCTTAGCCCTTTCCTTGATCCAGACAGCACCAGGTCACCACAAGGAAGTCAGCTTGCTTCAGGGATCCTGTGCCCCAGATCCTTCATGGCATCTTACCTCACAGATGAGGTCACCAAGGCCTGTGACAGGCCTCAGGCTCTGAACCGTCATTTCGAGAGAGGATTTTGCTTTGATAAGAAGATATGACTTTGATTTTATATTCAAGCTCTGCTCCTGCCCTAGCTGAATCCTTGCTGCAGCTACATGCTCTGTCAGGGGCTTCTGGGATATGGGAGGCTGCGGGGTGTGGTGCGGGGCTGTTTGAGGCTGCGATGCTACGGACAGGATTTAGTTTACTGTTTTTCCTCAGTTTTTGAAAATCATGGGTCATTCTAGCTGGGGTCTCACCAGGCGTTGTCACCTTGTCAGATTTTGGTCGAAATGTCCTATATCCTGGGCCAGCCTGACACTGCCATAGTGGCCAGTCAGAGTCTTCCTTAAGCTGGAAGACGACAGTCCTCTAATCCTAATGCCAGGTGCATGCCTGAACATAAGCAGACAGATCTGTCCTCTTTCTCACTCTTGGATTGCTCACTGGGTGGACACGCTTCCTTCCCGGTCTTACACTCTCAGCAAAGAGTTGAAATTCGTAAGTTGCATCAGGGTGAGAACTTAATCCTGGGCTTCAGTATTGGAGGGGGAATCAACCAAGACCCTTCCCAGAATCCCTTCTCGGAAGATAAAACGGACAAGGGCATTTATGGTACACAAGTATCTGAGGGAGATCCTGCTGAAATTGCTGGGCTGCGGACTGGAGACAAGATCATGCAGGTGGGGCTGGTAAGATGGCTCAGCGGTTAAGAGCACTGACTGCTCTTCCAGAGGTCATGAGTTCAAATCCAAGCAACCACATGGTGACTCACAACCATCCGTAATGAGATCCGATGCCCTCTTATGGGATGTCTGAAGACAGCTACAGTGTACTTACATATAGTAAATAAATAAAAACCTTTGGGCCAGAGAGAGCAGGGACAGAGCAAGAGGGAGAAGGGGGGGGCAGATCATGAAGGTGAATGGCTGGGATATGACCATGGTCACTCACAACCAGGACCAGGCTCAGAAGCGGCTCAGTAAACCCTCAGAGGAGGTGGTTCACTTGCTGGTGACTCTGCAGTCTCTGCAGAAGGCTGACCAGCAGTCTGTGCTGTCTTAGCAGTCAGCCACAGTCTAGACTTGTGCCTGCTGACCTTTTTGTACAGTGAGAACACATCCACGCTCTGTCTGTATCTAGTTCTAGCTTCTGCTGTGTGCTGGGCCCCATCTCTGAGAGGTAATAGCTGACCCCAAAGGTTCAAGCCAACCTTCTTACCCCTCAACCCTCAGCCCAAGGCCAAGGGACTAGCTCTTTCTCTTGGATATTGAGGATTGGAAAGAAGGGCCTGGAGAAGTATCCAGTCTTCAGTAACCATAGGCCCAGCCAGAGACTCAGCATGGGCTGGGCCATCAGGAAACACCTCTGGGAGCTGCCAAAGCTTGGGAGTGCCAGTTCTCCCAATTTGTTCTGGTTGAAGGGCTTAGCCCTACCCTGACACCTTCTCAATGCCTCTCCCTGTGCTTCCTCCGTCACGGTGTCCAGCCAGGGGCTGGACTCACATGTGCCAGAGACAGTATGAAGGCCACCTGGATGAAGAGGGCAGGCTGCCCCTTTACTCCCCCTAATGGGTGCTGGGCCTTCACACAAGTTTCAAGTCTGACATTTCAAGGTAGCCCTTGGGATTACCTTTTTTTTTTTCTCTACAGCCGTGGGTTTAGCTTTTGTATTTTTTTTAAGTCTCAACTCTGATACAAAAAAAAAAGGCATTTTTATCTTACTGTTTGAATTTAGCTTACTAATTCACACACCTGGAAGCAGCAACTTTTAGCATGTGACCAAGCCAGCTGGTTACTATGGAAACGGGGCAGTATGATGCCATCCCATGTTCAACACTTGTGTCCAATAAACAACACTGGAATTAAAAAGAAAGAAAGAGAAAAAAAGAAAAAGAAAGAAAGAAAATCACTTCTTGTTTCAGACCTCACAATATACTGGAAGTGGTTGCTCAAAAGCTATCAGGGAGGGGCCGGGCCAGGTGGCAGGTTCAGAGCCAGGCAAAGAAGACCAGGTACTAAGGGTCACCTGGCACCTGTGGTTTACTAACACTACTAACTTGTCCAGCCTGTCACCTCCAGCCTTCTGCTTCCCAAAGTCCCACTTTCAGACCCTGCAACCAGTCAGTCCTTCAAGTTCACCCTATGGAGAAGTCTTTGCCTGTCCTATGTGCCCTTAGGGGCCAGTGGGGAAGGGCACACTCCCAGCAAAGGTTTTGCAAGGCAAGGCAAAGCCAAGCCAGGAATAGATGCTCCATCCTATAATCCCAGGACACGGTGGGGATGAGGCTGTAGCAGGAGGATTGCTGTGAGTTCCAGGCTAGCCTGAGCTATGTGGTAAGACTTTGTCACGAGAGAAAAGAAAGAAAGGTAAAAGCAGACACATGATGAGCAGACATACGTGCTGAAGGGAAAATGAGGTGCAACTTGGGGAGTCCTCAGGGTCAGGAACAGAGGAGGCTGGGTAGCTTGCAGGGGTGGAGGACTCTGGGTGGAGGGAAAGCCTTCTGTAGTTGGTGGCCATCTGGAAGACGGTATCCAGGCTGGGGTAAAGGAGTTCAGCTGGGTTTTTTGGGCTCCTGCTGTATAAGGCAGGGGAGGAGACAGCCGAGTCTCTTGTCTGCTGGGCTCCTGAGCTGGCCACATCCATGCCTTCGATGTGGGCGCTGAGCTGGAGAGAAGGGGACTCCCTGGCCAGACTGGGAGAGGCACCAAGACACCACGAAGGGACTTCAGGGACAGACTTGGTTTCATGCTTCTCTCTCTCTTGTTCCATTGACTGAGAGCTGAGGGTTTTGGCCTGTCTGGGTTCCACATAGTACACAGGGCAGACTGCGTATGACTTTACCATTTGGCCATCCAGACATCTAGCTGTGGGGCCAGGGTCCACCTGACTGATACCCTTGCCTCTGAGTGGTGTTCTCGAGACTGTCTGCCTGGCCCAGGTCACAAGTGCCTCCTCTGCTCTGGGCTCTCTCAGGAGATCTCTCCTGTCTCCGGAGTTTGGATGCAGGCAGCCCCTGGGGACTAGATTTGACTCACCTCTTTTCTGTGTTCCTCCCCAAGACAATCTGGAGCAAAAGACCCTGCAGGTGTTGAGTGATGCCGGTGGCCCTGTGAAGATTGGCCAGCTGCTAAAGAAGTGCCAAGTGCCCAAGAAAACCCTCAACCAAGTCCTTTACCGCCTGAAGACGGAGGGCAAAGTGTCCTCCCCAGCCCCTGCAACATGGAGCTTAGGGCGGGATGCTTCCGGAGATGGGACTTGTGCAATCCCCGAGGACTCCACTGCTCAGCCTAGCCTTGGTAATCTGTCGTGTAGGCAGAGCAGACTCCCCCCCACACTCCCCACACACCTTAAGAGCCATCTTGAAATAGGCAAGCACAGATTCAGGCTTGGCTCCAAATCTGAGCTCGGCCATCCCCTCTCTGTCTCTTGATTTCCTCTGGCCAATGGAGCTAACGTAGAGCCTCGGGCTCATACACAGCAGGCATAGTAGACACCAGCAGTGGTGGAGACACAACCCAGGCAGTAGTTACAGTGATAGTGAGGGTAAGGACTCACTCAGAGCCTTCGGGTGACTTTGATAGCCATGGAGCAGAAAGGACTCACAATTCCGAGCGCTGACACTGCCCCCAGAGCCACCGTGCCTTCGGTCGGCCCCCCCCCCCCCCCGCCATGGAGACAGGAAAGGAAGCAGCCTCAGGACCTCAGACCAGCAGACAGCATCTGTGACCCAAGCACACAGGAAGCTCTGGGATCCAGCATAACGTGCTGTCCCAGAGATCTCCTGAGAAACTATTCCCTGTGCTTAGTAGAGCAGGGTGTCTCCCGTCTCCAACTGACACATCCTTCTCTCAGCATCAAGACCCTAAGGAGATGTAGGAGGAGCTCGAGAGAGCCCTGGCCTGCAGTCCAGTGCACACCATAGGCCTCCCCAGACCACTGAAGCTCCACAGGAGTACCAGAGGCCAGACTCACTGCTAGAAGAGAAAGTCTCTAAATGGCAAGACGTGGGCTCTGACACCCCTGTGCCAGTCTGAGCCAGCTTTTAGGGTGACAGCCTCATTTGCTTGGTCTCCAGATGACCACTGTACCGTCTTCGACCCAATATGTGCTTCTGACAGACCATCGCCATGTCCCTGGGCTTCATAAGTGTCCCAGGCCACAGCTAGTAGGTGGTGGGCAGATGTAAGACCAGGACCCTCTTTCCACTAAGCACCCGCCTCCCACCTTGCAGAGGAAAGAATATTAAGATTCCTGGAGGCCCACGGACCACAAAGGGCCCTGCATATCGCCAAGGCTCTGGGGATGACGACAGCCAAAGAAGTGAACCCACTCCTGTATACCATGAGGAGCAAGCACCTTCTGAGCCATGACGGACAGAGATGGAGCATCTACCGCTCAAGTCAGGAAGGCCAAGAGCTAGGTATGAGAGGTCAAGGTCAGTTTGGGGAGGTCAGGGGTCAAGGGTCAGGAAGGTCAAGGATAAGGGTTAGATGGTGTAGGGCCAGATTTTTGTTGTTGTTGTTGTCGTTCGTTGTTGTGTTTTCTGGATTCTCTTTTAGATTTATGTATTTTATTTTATGTGTATGAGTGTATTGCCTGCATGTATGTGCACCACATGCGTGTAGTGCCTGCAGAGGGTAGAAAAGGGAATTGATCTTCTGGCTGGAGTTGGAGTTACAGATCACTGTGAGCCGCCATGTGTGTGCTGAGTCCTGCATGCTCTAGAAGACAGCCAGTGCTCTAACCACTGAGCAACCTCTCCAGCCTTCGAGTCAGCTGTTCTAGGAGGGAGGACTGCTGCCAAGATTAAGGAAGGAGGGTCATCCAGCTGCTGGTCTTGGCTGGTATGGGCCTGCCTGCCTCATTCATAGTGCCCATAGCGTCTCCAGCTATAGGAGGAAGAGTGACCCACCCAAATCTTTAATGAAGTCAGTGGAACTCAACAAAACGTATGTGTAGTGGAATCTTAACCCAGAAACATGGCTGCCCTGACAAGGATCACATCCAAAGACCTTCTAGGTCTGTGTGACTCAGCTGGAATGCAGACACACCCTTAGTACACACAATGTAGGTAAAGTTAGTTTGTAGAAGGACACAGCCATGTTTGAAAGTGACGTCTAATCAAGAGGCAGAGCAAGTGACAAATCAGAGAAAGATTTGACAGAGTGAGTCAGAGATAGGAGGAAAGCTCTCTAAGAGCAGCGCAGGGGGAGAGGATGTAGTCAGTGAGTTGGGGGCTGAGTTAGCGGGAGTCAGTGCAGTGAGCGCTGTGCAGAGGAACTGAGTTCCTTCCTGAGATCATGCAGTTCAGCGCAGGTCAGCAGAGGCGGCTGAAGCCAGAGAATGAGAAGGAGCCAGGAGATCAGAACAAATCGCCAGAGTTAGCTTGAGGCCAAGCAGAGCAATCGAGTGAGAGACGCCAGATTGAATCAGTCAGCTTAGGGAGGAGTTTTGAGTCAGAACAGCTGAGTTGAACCAGCCAGCCAGAGTTCAGAAAGAACTAGAAAGGGTGAGTTTATTCAGCAGTAAGCCTACAAGATGACAATTACATCTGGCAAATAAAATTTACATTTACACACAGGAGGTTTCTTCTAGCCAACGCTGAGGAGTGAGAAGCCTGCCGTTCAACAGAGAGGATTCGGGAGGCTTCTGAGGGCTGAGATGCAGAAAGTCTGGAGGGAGTGACACGCTAGAATTGCTCAGCCTGGCCTCAGGGGTCAGCCTGAATTTAGTAATGACTCTCTGTGAACACTGCTCAACTTGGGGCTTTAGTCACTTGAAGAAGGCAGGCATGACAGTGCGGGGCTCTTATCCCAGCATTTAGGAAGCAGAGGGAGAAGAACTTCAAGTTCAAAGCTATCCTAAACTACAAATCTCCCCCACGAACCCAAACTGAAAAACAAGTAAATAAGGTCATTTAAGAGAGAGCTGGGCTGGGTTTGCATAGAAGCCTGGAGATGCCGGGAGACCTGTGAGTGTAGCAGTACCAGCTCTGTGCCCTGGGGCTCTCAGGAACCCCCCCAAAATGTTCTTTTTAAATGTACTTTTCTTTTTCTTTCTTCCTTTCTTGTCTTTCTTTCTTCCTTCCTTCCTTCCTTTCTTTCTTTTCTTTCTTTCTTTTCTTTTTTTCTTTTTTCTTTTTTTTTTGTGAGACAGTCTTACCATGTAACCCCTGGCTGTCCTAGAACTCACCATGTGGACCAAGCTGGCCTCGAACTCACAGAGATCTTCTTCTTTCTGCCTATTAAATTCTGGGATGAAAGTTGTGCACCACTACACCTGGAAAAGATATCCTTTAAAGCCAGTAAAAGAAATAAACATTTAAAGAATGCATATCTAAACTGTCCCAGACCAAGTATGCTCATTTTTTTCAGCAACATGGTTAGAAAATTTATTGATTTTCTTTCTTTCCTTTTTTTTTTTTTTTAGATAATCTTGTGTAGCTGAGATGGCCTTGAACTCCCGATCTTCCTACTTCCATCTCCCAAGTACTGGGATTACAGGTGTCTATCACCACGCTGGCCTACTTTAACTTATGGAGAAAGGAGTTCAAGGAGGTGCACAAACCTCCAGTTAGAGCAGTCATGTGACCCTGTGACACACAGTGCAGGTGCTGGGCTTGGCTGGTGTGGGCCAGTCTCTCTCTCTCTCTCTCTCTCTCTCTCTCTCTCTCTCTCTCTCTCTCTCTCTCTCTCTCTTTCTTTCTCTCTCTCTCTCTCCCTCCCCCCCCCTCCCTCCTTCTTCCGTCGTGCACTCCCTCCCCCTCCCTCCCCCTTCCCCTCCCTCCCCCCTCCCCCTTCTTTCTCCCTCCTTCTCCCTCCCCTCTCCCTCTTCCTTCCCCCTCCCCCATCTCCTCAGCTTTTGGAGGGAGAGTGACAGTGTGGAAGGCACCTTTTAAACAAAAAGTCATATCTTAAATCTTCAATAATGTCAATAGAGCTCAACCACCTATATGGGCCATTTTCTAGCCGTTGCTGAAGTGGGAGGAGCCTGGGCCTCAGCAAGGCCCTGGCAACAGGGACAGGGTAGGGAGAGGATGAGTCTCCACCATCCTCCCAGTGAGCCACTGTGGCTAGGGTGTGTAGGTGAAGAGCCTGCTGCAGGTATTTCAGGAGAGGCTCCGGCTGGTCTACCACTGTGTCCCTCCAACACGAGGAAGGAAAGCTGTGGCCAGCTGCAGGCAGCTCCTGAATCGTACCTTGCACACCCTCGTTCTCAGGCCCCCCAGGATGGGGTCTGGGCTCACGGGGCAGCAAGCTGTCAGGGCTGTTGATGGGAGACTGACTCCCTATGCCTTTGAGACAAAGGGCTCAGTGGAATATTCTTCTTTAGCTCGTTCTGAAGTCAGACAAGAGTCCTCTATGATTATTCATCAGCAAAATCCGATCAACATGATCTGCCAACAAGGACCCAACAGCCAGATCTCCATTGCCAAATCAAAAGCCATCCAGATTGGCCACGGGAACGTCATGTTAAGACAGACAGCCTGTGGTGAACCAGGTAAGAGGAGGGTCCTGGCTGAGGTGGGGAGGGGAGGCTGAAAGGGGACTTGGTCCTCCCAGGAGAAAGCAACTGCTTCATCTCCTGAGGCATGGCCTTAGGCACGGCCTTTCTCAGAGTGAGACCTGTGACCACACCTCACCTGCATTCAGTTTGCTCCTCCTCAATGAGATCAAACCCTTTTGTAGGAGAGTAACTCCGCACGGTGAGAGGGTTACTGCAGTTCTCGCTCTGAACACAAGTCTGTCTCGAAAATTATGCCACGAAAAGTGGGGTCATCTTACACTCAGTGGCTTCTTTTCTATCTATGTATCTATCGATTTATCTATCTACCTACCTACCTATATATTTACCTAAGTGTGTGTGTTTGTGTGTGTGTGTTTGTATGTATTTATGTGTGCATGTATGTGTGTTTGTGTGTGCATGTATGTGTATGTTTGTGTGTTTGTATGTACATGTGTGTTTGTGTGTGCATGTATGTGTATGTTTGTGTGTATATGTTTGTGTGACCCTGTGGGTGAGTATGAGTGTGTTTGTATGTGCATGTATGTGTGCGTTTGTGCATGCATGTATATGTATGTTTGTGTGTAAGTTTGTGTGTATGTGTGTGTTTGTATGTGCATGTATGTGTTTGTGTGTATGAGTTTGTATGTGCATGTATGTTTATGTTTGCGTGACTTTGTGTGTTTGTGTGTGCGTGTATGTATATATATATATATATATATGTGTGTGTATATTTGTGTGACCTTGTGGGTGAGTATGAGTGTGTTTGTATGTGCATGTATGTGTATGTTTGTGCGTGCATGTATATATATATATGTTTGTGTGTAAGTTTGTGTGTATGTGTGTGTTTGTGTGTGCATGTATGTGTATGTGTATGTGTGTGTGAGTTTGTATGTGGATGTATGTTTATGTTTGCGTGACTTTGTGTGTTTGTAGGGGCATGTATGTGTGTGTTTGTGTGACTTTGTGTGTCTGTGTGTGCATGTACGTGTATGTGTGCGTGCACATGTGTGTGTGTGTGTGTGTGTGTGTATGTGTGTGTGTATTTATTGGAGCCCATCCACAACCTGAGGATGACGTCAGGTGTCCTGTTCTGTCACACCCGATCCAGACAGGGTCTCTCACTGAACCTGGAGCAAGACTTGCAGACAGTAAGCCCCAGTGATCCTGTCTCAGGCTCCCCCAGCACTCGGGGTCCCCTCACACTCTGGCCCTGTCACCCATGCACAAGAGCATCAGTCCAAACCCAGATTCCCTCCATACCCTCAGGAGAAATCTGCTCTACTTTAGGCCCGTTCCCCCCTCCCCTGGTTTTGATGGCCCTCCTGTCTGGCTATTTTACTTAGGATGTTAAATGGCTCATCAGTTTTTGGACTCAAATGTGTTGGAGAGTTTCTGTGTTCCTTTAATTTGAAAAATTGTAAAAATGAGACTAAAACTGAGCACCTGAGAAATAAACATAGCCAGGCATGGAGGACTAGTTACCCCTCGGGGGCCTTTCTTTTGATGGGGGATCAAAGGTTGAGGAGACCCAGCAGGCAGGTGCCCCAACAGTACCCTGAGCTCCCATTGAGAATTCAGACTGCCCGACTCCAGCTGCTTCTGGTGCCCGAGCCCAAGAACAGAGCCGTCTGGAGTCTCTAGCAAATTCTTAGTGCTCTGTCCTCCCAGGTCCCAGGACCCCTCACCATGTCCCTCTACCGGTGCCAGAGGATGCCTCTGCTCAGGACAGGCCCCCTGGTGCCCACGGAGCTCAGCACATCCACATGGACAAGTCCATGCTCCGATGCGTGCAGCTTGGTCACGGCAACGAGATGAGGCTCGTGAGGGACCCTGGAGAACACTCCGCTTATAGCTTTTCTGGCAGCCCCCCAGGTATGGTGGCCTCCGTCACCCCACATACCTAGAAAGGACCCGGAAGCCGGAAGAGAACCATGACCGAAAACTCATTTCCGCCCTGACCCATTGGAGGGGGTATCGCTGAATAGCACTGAGCTTTTAGTTCTGCCACTCAGACCCCAGGCTCCCAGAGCCTACGTGCAGCAAACCCCAGTCAGGGCCTACAAATAGAGGCTGAGCCGGAGGAAGCCGGGTCATAGCGGTGGGCGGAGGCCTGGATGGTGGCCTAAGGACATGGAGATTGAAGCCACTAGTGAGCTGTAATAACAGTGTCCTGGTGGCGGTGGCACAGTGACTCAAGGATGCTGCCAGAGGCCTGCCTGCCAGCAACTGTAGATTCTTAGGTGATCAGAGGTCTCAGGGGGAATAACAGAGCCAGGGAAAAATGTCTTCAGAGAGAAATTGGTCAGGGAGGCAGGGAGTAGCAACAGTGGGACTAACAAACAGGACTCTGTGGTCGCCTTCCGTGACAGGTTCTTAGAGTGACTCCCTTCACTGTAAGCCAGCATGGGCATTTCCTGACTTTTGAGTGTGAAAGTGAAGGAGAGACATCAGGGTTCAGGGGATGCTGAGGTGAGGCTGAGACTGGGAGAGAAAAGGTATGAACCATACATAGTAGGACCGTGTGAAAAGGTATGAACCATAATAGGAGAGCATGTCCTTCATCTGCCACCTGGGAACTGACCACAGAGAAAGATGGAAGACTACAGAGCTACAGAGGTCCAGAAGAAGATGCTGAGTCCAGAGTGGGTTTGCTGAGCTCAGGGTAGGGGTGTAGGGGAGATTTCCAGTCCAGTGGGGACATGTGCTGGGACATAGAGGTGGGGTGGCTAGGCAAAGGCTATGAGCCAGATCTGCAAGGTTACTGGTGAGAGTGAATTGTGAGGATGGGACAGCAGGATTGGGTGTACATGCCAGGTCCCTCTGCAAATTGCCCGCTTTTCTTGGCTTCTCTCTTTGGTTTATTCCAAGTGTCAACCACCACTGCTGACCCACATACTTCATTCAACATGCAAACACCTGAGCCAGGCTCTCACCCTGAGGGAGACACAGCCCAGAGAGTCCACATCAAATCCTGCTTACTAGAGGATGCCACCATTGGTAACAGCAACAAGATGACCATCTACCCGAGGTCAAAGGGTGGAGTCGTGGAGCCTGGAGACAGCGAAGAGCCAAAGGGAGACACAGGTGAGCCCAGGCACAGGTGTCTGTGTGTGCCCGACCTCGTTCATTCATCCTGCATTCAAGCGTCAAGGCAATGGCCTGGTGCAAGGACACAAGGGTCTGGAGCTCAGTGAGCGGACCCAAAGCCGGCGTGTAGCTCCAGGCTGCAGGCAGGATGTAAATATGGACACCAGGATAATGAAGAGCTACAGGAGGGCTATGAGCAGGAATGAAGCTTTTGGATTTGGAATGAGAGAATCGTAAACATAGTCCTACACGTGGATCGTTAGAATTAGCACGGAGAGACCAGGATGTCTGGATGCCAGGTGGATATGGGATCCCGGTGGTGAAGGGCTGTATGGCTCACGCAGTGAGAACAGGCCACGGGCATCAGGGGTCACAGTCACCAGGCCCAGGCAAGGAACGCTTTAGGGAGACGTCATGGCTGTTCCCAGAAAGGAAATTGTGAGCCCTTCCCTCAAGGAAGCTCTGTGAGAGAACTGAAATGAGGATCCAACAGGGACCTGCCAACAAATCTGGGGGAAAGGGTTGCAAGTATAAAAATGGCAGATGCCACGACCCTGAGGGGAGAAGTGGAGTAACACAGGGCAGGAGTCTGGGAAACAAGAGGGATCCAGGAACCTAAATCCTCGGTGGGTGCCTGGCCTTTCAGAGCCTGAAAGTGTGTGTAAATGTCTCCATCTTATTTTAAATGACCTGGGAGACATGTAAGGTGTGTGGTGTAGTATTTAAGTCTTCCTGGGCCAGTGAGATGGCTCAGTGGGTGAGGTGAGTGCACTTGCTGCCAAGTCTGATGGCCTGAGTTTGATTCCCCACAACCCACATGGTGGAAGGAGATAGCCAACTCCCACCCATTGTCATCTGACTTCTACACACAGACACAGAGACACACAGACAGAAATAAATAAATAAATAAATAAATAAATAAATAAATAAATAATCAATCCATGCATTGGGGAGTGTTAGGTCTCCATAGGACACTTTGGGAACAAAGCCCTGGAGCACACAGGCAAGCAGAAACCCATCACAGTGGTTGCTTTCCTTTTCTCCCCGCCCTCCAGGTGCCAGCTCTGAAGCCACGCCTCCCAGAAGCTGCTTGCACATGCTCAGTGACTCCATCCTGCTCACCTGTGAGCTGAGAACTATGTCTCTGGGAGACAGCAGCGCCCAGACCTCAGAACCTGTGCTTAGAGAGAATGAAGTCCAGGACACGGAAAGCTGTCAGGCCCAGGACTGAGGTGAGCAGAGAGGTGGCGAGGGCACAAGCACAGGTGGAGAGTCCTGTGGGGCTTTTTGTGGCTGCACTCAGGGCCTGGACTAGATTTATATTTTTGTGATTCAGGTGTGATATTTTCCCTGGAAAGGCTCAAGTACTGACAACTTGGTCCTGTACTGCCTCCAAGATCATCCACACACCAGTCTCTAGCTGGAGTCACTGTCCACTGAGGTTATTGGGTTGGGGTGGAGACTTTGGGAGGGCAAAACAAAGAGTCTCTAAGACATCAGGGTCTCACATGCTCCAGACTGGCTTTGACCCACTATGTCGCCAAGGATGATCTTGAATTTCTGATCTCCTGGTCTCCAGTTCCTGAGTGCTGAGATCATAGGCATGTACCACCAAGTCCAGACTATGAGATGCTAAGGATGAAACTTCATCTATACAGGGCTTCGTGCATGCTGCACAAGGGCTACCCATGCAGCCCCAGTCCTGGCCTAGGCCATGCCCCTTCCAGTCTCTCTAGTCATCTCTTCTTCCTGCCTGCCCTGACACGAGCATCCCTTCTCCGCCATGTCCTTCTGCCTTACCACAAGCCAGAAAGCAATGGAGCCGTGGGACCACAGGCTGACCTCTCTGCCACCATGAGCCAAATCAACCTTTCCTGCCCCAGGATCAATCAACAATCCATCAATCAATCAACCATATGAGCCAGTTCTACCACTCCTGGGTGCTCACCAGAAGGGAAAAGTCAACACAGAGACATCTCTGCATACCCATGTAGACTGTGGTCCTGTTTCCAGCAACTAAGAAATGGAACCAACCTTGTTGTCCAGCAGTAAACGATGGGTGAGTTGGAGTATGCGCACAGCCACAAAAAATACTGAGGTTGTCATTGGCTGGAAGAAGATGCAACCAGAAACCACCACGTTAAATGAATGGAAGCCATTTTAGAAAGACAAAGGTCACATTTTCTCTCTTTAGTGGCTCCTAGACTTTTTACATAGATTCTCAGCTCCGCCTGCACCAGGCCTGCCTGGACGCTGCCGTGCTCCCACCTTGATGATAACGGACTGAACCTCTGAACCTGTAAGCCAGCCCCAGTTCAATGTTGTCCTTATAAGAATCACTTTGGTCATGGTGTCTGTTCACAGCAGTAAAACCCTAAGACAAACCATATACACAGATGTGACATGAAAGTACACGTGACACCAGCCAGGGAATGAAGGGACCAACAGGAGAATGGGGAGGGGAGGTAGGGCCACAGCCAAGGTGGGTAAAGACCAAGGAGGGTCACAGCCGAGGGGGGAAACAATCAAGGGGGTGTCACAGCCCTGGGTGGTCGCGGCTGAAGGGGGTCACAGCCAAGGGGGAGTCACGCCTGAGGGCTGTCACAGTCTTGGGTGGTCACGGCTGGGGGGGGGGCCCCGGCTGGGGGGTGTCACAGTTGAGGGGGAGGACGCAGCTCTGGGGATGACAGCCGAGGAGGATCACAGTCATGGAGTTCATGGCCCAGTGCATTGTGCTTTTGTACAAAGGTACCTCTGAAACCCAAGCTAGTGTTTTGTTTGACTAAAGAGCACCGAGCCACTCAGAAAATGGATCTAAAGAATTAAACCAGGGGCAAGCAGGATGGGTCAGTGATAAAGGCGCTTGCCCCACAAGCCCCATGACCAGGGTAGCCAAGTGCACCCAGTTGATGCTCCACACAAAGCTGAGGGGCCTGTTAGTCTCCTCTGCCTTCCACTAGGAGGCTATGGGGTATCGTTTTAAGGCGAGCGCCTCACTAGACCCTGAACCTGCCATTGTGACGTGAGTCCTCCAGGATTCACGCACCAAACAATTTCCTGCCATTGTAACCCACCCTGCTCAGGGTGTTTGGTCACGGCACCCTGAGTAGGGAAGGCTGTTGGCCCACTCTCTTCTCTCTCAAGGGCCACCAGCTCCACTTGACCCCCAGATCTCTGGAACCCTTCCCTTCTGTCTCTGATCTCACTGGAGTCCTTGGCTGAACTTCCAAAGAGCAAATGGTTCCACGCCTCAATCCTTGGCCCTGTAGGAGTGATTAGCTGGCCCATGTGTCAATCAACCAGCCTTGGCCAGTCAACAGGCAGGAATCCTTTACTGTGTGCCAGATATGGCCTTGGTGAAGTGATGTCATCAGATGTAGGGGGCATGGCCACTAACGTTTTCCAGAAGCTTGGGGTTCTGAGTGCTTGGGGGAAGGGCAGTGGAGCTTTGAAAACGGAGGCCAGAGGAAGAATCAGCTAGCCAGGAAGGCGGCTCCTGAGTGAGTGTGTGCATGTCACGTGTGGCATGTCCTCTCTTCTCTCCCGCACACCCACGGCCTCTCCTGCCCACCAGAAGCTTCTGAGGTCAGACAGGCCCTGCGCCTCTGAAGGCTCTGGACACCTTCCTTCATTCTGTGCACTACTCTGCTTCCAAAACAACTGCTCTCTCCAGCCCTGCTCTCTTCCGACCCCGCCCAC